CCCCCCCAACGATATGTGTTTTTGCATTGCACAGATGCAAGAAACGCATTAAAAGACGGAGGACTAATGGCATCGGAGCAGACGTCCTCAACTGGAAAACAGGAACTGCATAGATTCGCAGTGAAGTAGATAAAGAGGAAAGATTCCTGAGTACTGCATAGGGGTTTAGAACTGATGAGGTGTTTTTGGAAGTTTTAGGCAGCATTTGACTTAGCGAGCTCCCACCAAACGAAAAGAGCACTGCAGACGGTGAACTATGGCCGCAGGAGGAGTTAAGAATATGACCGGCATGCAACATATGGTTGGAGCAATTTAGGAACTGCTCCTGCATGTACGTGTGACTAGTGCTAACCACACCAGCAGGATGAAGGAGAGAAGGTCCGGAAAATATATGCAAACAAAGAAGGAAGAATGATGCCTGCGAACTGGAAATGTTCGTGCTGTTGTGACTGTTACTACTGATTGTGCTTGCTTACATTTTATGAATGGTTTAATAAAGCAAATTTGAGGTATAAAATCCATGCAAGCCGATAAATTAACTCAATTCAAGCTACATTATTGTCCAATACCACTCTGTAAATCTTGGGAAACAAAAAAAGTCTCGACTACCTCTACTTATGTCACTGCTATGCTCTGACAAAAGATCAAATTCTGGCACCTCTTCTCCACAGCTTTAGCAAGATGGTAATGAGAATTGCTTTAACTAATACGAAAATACAACCCATCCATTCTCACAACATCATCCAGTAGTCCTCCAAAACGCAATCCAGGGAAAAAATACCGAGGCAGATGCAGTTATGCTGCAGGTATCTTCCGATTTTCGGTATTCCTGTTTCAGCTTCTGATCGTGGTCATACTTTGTACGCACTCGCGTAGCTCTTTCCAACACCATACCAACTCAAAAGCAAATCATTAAGTGAATCAATTTTTTCAATGAATAACGATAACGGCAATAAGCTGGCTAAAGCACCCCGCAACATCAATAAGGTACCAGTTCAACTAGCTGTTGTGAACACACCCCGCATAAGTAGAAAACATGGCGTGCCTGCCGCAGTCGCAGTCACGCGGCTTGTTCCCGGAGCAATGCAAGAAAAATAATAATACCATCGTCAGAGGTGCCCGCGACTGAATGCTTTTTTTTTAATGCTATGAAACACGCCAACTCGTCTAAAGAATCCACGGACATCTCAGCTCAACGCAAGGGAGCGGAAGAGAACATGCAGAATAATACGTGTAGTGAAGTGCAAAGTGATTTCTATTTGAATAGTTCATAACATATCATATGAGTAAACAATTTACCTCTAGCCGAATGCCCACCTCCGACCAACAAATTTTCACGTCCTTTGTGAACGCCAGACACGACAATCTTCCGGTTAACATTCGTTTCCAGCAATGAGCTTGATTCTTCTCTCTGCAGGATGCTCGTATACTGAACTCCTGGAATATAAACCTTTACTAAATTGTCAAATACAAAAGCAAAAGGAAGACAGACAATGCTAGAAAATGCATAATTATTTGAGGCAAATTGCTGATACAGCTTTAAAACAACGTAAGTTATGAATATGAGAATCTCTTAACTTTCGACATCATATGTCGAGTTCATTCGTTTAAGCTGTGGCAGTCAAACCAACAGTGCAACTTTCTGTCAATTCGAATGATATTATTCTGCCAGCAGGATGAGACGACTGCAGTACGCAATTTTGAAAGGATGCCAAAACCTCTAGTACGGGATTTTTTCGAGTGCCCATACAGACTTACAACCGCGCAGACGCGAAGCAGCTGCATCAGCGACAAGCAGCACGACTAAGAAGCAATGGCTGTTCAAAACATCCGGCATCTGGTGCTTTACCAAAGAGACTCCCATAAAACTAAACAAATGAGCTTACTTGGCTTTGCGGTAATGTAACTGTGAAATTCGTTCAGTGAATCCGGTCGATCAACGCTTTCCTTAGAATTACCCGTGTGCTGTAACGAAAATTCAAAATTTGAGAAATGGGACCTTTTTGGTTATCTTAATGGTGTTCGTAAAGAAAATTTGAAAAAATGATGATGAAACTATGCGGTCTGGAACTGATTACGAAGGCCACTGATGACGAAACGATGTTATTTCTTCCGGAACTACTTAAAATGGATCACAGCCCTATGAAGAAGGTTAACTGATTGCTAGCTCTGGCTCGCTCTGCCAACGTCTTTCCAAAAATGGCTCCAAAAGATACGCCCGACCTAAGAGGAAAAATCGCGGCCCAGCTCTTTTACCGTTGAGAAATTTTACAAGAAACAGCAACACTTTGATAGAGAGTGCTGTCAGTAGGGTCGCGTCATAATCAATTTCAGACAGCAAGAGACATATCGCTACAACACACTACTGCTAGGCAATCAGTAGACTTGCGATGGCGTTAAGAGCAATAGCAAAAACAAAACCGAACCTTAACACTGCTCGATTTCCGTAAATAAGTGCCACTTTGTTCAGCTTTTTCACGTTTCGTACAATGCTCTTCTTTCGTGGGTCTCGCTTTTGTGACAGTTTTCTGTACGGAAGACGATCTGGAACGCACTAATTTATGCTGTAGCAAGCGGGTGCTCCCCACTCACTCATGTAAGACTTAAACAGTTATCCGGTGAGGACTTCTGAACAACACTGATCATCTTTAACGACCGTAACAGTTCCTCCTTTGATAAACGCTTTAAAGCGAGCTAGCGACTAATCCAGATCAGAGCTGCCAAAAGGAATTAGTTCGCAGTTAAGACTACATTGTCGAGCAGTTTTTTTCCGAAGCCATTTTCAAATCACAACAATCGTAAAAAAAAAGAAATGCCGAAATATTGCAAGTTAGACTCCAATTCCAATTTTTTTTTTACTTTAAGAAATCAGTTCCAATAAGTTGAAACTCTAACTTATTATCAAACCTGTGGCTAAAGTGGCTGAGAAGCAATACGCAAAAATAGCTTACCTGGATTGTCTGTAATCCTCTGACCTTACGAACTCCGCTCTAGTGCTCGGTCCACCACTGTCGCCAAACAGTTCGTCCAGTATGCTCATCTTTGCCGACTGTTCATCATTTCTGGACTTATTCTGCGAAATGCCCTTCTTCATGTCTTTCTGGATCCTGTTGTCATCCTTGCCGGATCGCTCCTGATATTTTTTGGTAATACCGTCCTGCACCACGTTTTCATTTTTCAATTTCTTTAACCGTTCACGATCCTCGCGTTCTTTTCGTTTCCTCTCACGTTCCGATCGTTCCCGAGCTTCGCGCTGTTCCTCTTCCTCCCTCCTCTTTTCCCGTTCTGTTGCTCGTCGGCGCTCCTTTTCCTCCTGTTCACGCTTTTGGCGCTCAATTTCTTCACGTTCTCTCCTCATCAGAAATTCTTTCTGTTTCCGTTTATCGATGCATGCATGAGCACTATCCTTAAATTCCTCGAGCTTTATGTACTTCCCCCGTTTTTTTATATCCTCAGAAGCTCCACGGAGTGGGCTGTTCCTTGGAACAGATGCAGTTCCCAACCTCTCTGTTTCACGTTTTGATGAATCAGCAGCTGGGACTTCAATCCGCTCTTTTCGCAGTGCTGGGCTTTTCGAGCTAACGCCACTAATGAATTCATCAAAACTGCCCGTCGCCACCTTTCGCTTTTGTTCTTTCCTCATTTTCTTATCCGTGGCCAAAACTGTTTCCAGATTATTCTGCCTAGCCATGCGACGATCATCAGTGGGTTTCATGGAGGACGATTCTCCACTCATAAAATCTGAATCTGATTCTGTTTGTTTCTCCTCAAAATTTTTTCCTTTCTCCGAGCTCGATGCCAAAGCGGCACCTCGAACTGCCTGTGAATCTCCATCATTTGAGCATTTCATGGATGCATCACCGCGATGCGAATCATCAGAATGCTCACCCCCTGAATCTCCAAACAGCTGATCAATTTCCCGTTCAACAGAGGAAGAATTTCGTAAAAACGAGTTCGTCTCATTTGTTAAATCCACGTGTTGATCTTTTTGGTGACTAGTAACACTACTGCCGACTGCTGTTTCACCGTTGTTCGCATCACAAAATATAACTGCCGATACCTCATTTCCTTCCCGACTTTTTTTTTCTGTTGCTGACGAGGTGATAACTTGAGAGAGATCGTCAACATGACCATAATGGCTGATTTTCTGAACATCCGACTGATTCACTTCCGAATTTTCATGCAATGACAACTGTTTACCAGTTTTCATGTTTTCGACAAGACAACTGTTACCATCATTTTCCTGAACGCAAATTTCAGCAAGTCTCTTCCATCCTACTGAATGTCCCTTTTTTTTAGTTTTTTCGTTCCCCATAATCGGAGCAACTCTGTTTTTTACAGAATTTGCACGAGGTTGTTCCTGCAAAGCAACTTCAGTTTCCGTTCCCATTTTTCCAGACTCCACGTGATCGTTAGAAGGTTGTCCATGCACAGTATTTTCAGTTTCTGTTCCGTCTTTCGCAGAGACTGAAGGATCAAGGAGGAACCGTTCTCGCACAGCGCTTCTGTTTTCTGCTTCGATATTCACAGATTTTTTGAACGTATTAGGTTGTTTTTGCGCAGCATTTTCTACAGAATCCCGGGAATTATTATAGCGCGGTTTTTGCAAAATAATTCTAGTTTTCGATCCAATTTGCGTACGCTCGCTGGAACCAGCAACGGCTGTGTTTTGCGGAGCACTTTCACCTTTAAATTTCATGAATTTGTCACCAGGCAAATACGGGCATTCTATTTCGACTCGGTCCCTGAACAGCGCACTTTCGGCAACCACCTGAAAAGGACCGTACAAATCAAGTCAACTTGGGCTGATAAATTGCTGAAAAAACTGTAATTTATTTGAGAGTGGGGTTCTACTGGAGCTTCTCCTCCAATTTGGAAAATCAAACTGATTATGCCGTCCCAACTTTACCAGAACATTCGTTTTCAATACGTGGGCAAGTAGGCGTAAAATGGGTTTTGGCGGTACGCCTCGCTGCGCGTCCGGAAACGTTATGACGGAAAGCGATTTCGCCAACTTGTCAAGCTATGAAACCGAATCTGCACGAAGATATTCTATGTCTGCATGTAACTCAAACATTTCAAATTCAGCTTTAAAGCATGAATAGGTCTCGTATTGGGACACGGTTGGCATCCAGTTAACTCAGAAACCAGACTGCGCAGAAAGCAGAACCTTTCTAAAAATATTTGCTGACTGGGCTTTTGCTCACGCATGTGAGCCACGTACAGACATATTAAATGTTTAGATTGCAACGCCGCCGTCAAGCCATCCTCTCAGCAATCATGCAAGCTGGGAAGCTGTAATTTTATGAGGACGCTGCCTGATTGTGCGGGCAGACTTCATGCGCGCTAACGTCGGGCACAAGGATACACCAAAAACGCATGGTCGCGTTGGAATTTCTGGTGCACGTTGCTACCTGAGTTTCCCTTTATAGATGCATTCTACAAAAACTCCGACCTTACATATATTCTTAGACCATAAAAGCCGTACAACTATCACCACAGGTTTTAATGGTCCGAAATAATTTTCGCTCACTGGTATTACTATATGCTTACCGGCTTCCTTCGGCGAATTTCCGGCTTTCGACGAGGTTTCCGCCTCAAACATGACAATTTATGGCTCTAAAAAAATTTTTAATTTCAGTAAGTTTTGATGTCAGTAATACAGTAGTCTAAGTGAAAAAATTGGCCAGTGCACTGATCACTGGTACGAAGACGCGCTTTTTACACTGTTCTCCCGTTTTTGTCGCTAACGACACTGCTTTTTCCAGCAGATGTTTCTAACTAAAAGAACTGAGACTAGCCGCCATGAATCTCAGAAATTATTACAATGACTCCCAACCAATTCTCAAAAAATTCAGCACTCTAGCTACTTCGGTTGCGGAATAGCGTCAAATTTCATGTGCTCGTACGTTAAACAGATGTGGTTTTATTTTTGGTTTGCCCAAACACGGCCCTGCGCTGCGTTTAAAAAATTTCAGCGCTCCAGCTGCTTTGGTTGCGGAGTTACGTCAAACTTCAGGTGCTCGCACGCGAGACGCAAATGAAGCATGAAAGGAGCATGGAAAATGCTTTCCCGTCTACCTGTCCAAACGCCGTCGTTGGCCGCGCTCAGAAAAACTTAGCTCTCTTTAGCTTTTTCAGTTCCGAAGTTACAAAAGTGACTACATTAGATTTTGATGTGTCTGTACGCGGGAAGCATCTGGACTGAAGAGCTCAATTTATTTTCATGGTCATGTCAGTGGACGACAAGCAACGCTGCAAGACCACAACTTTCTACAAGTTCTTGAACAGCTTAATCCTGAGCTGACACGATGCCAATTTAAACTTTGACGTGTACGTACGTGAGGTCTGGAGGCACGTAAGGAGTGAATTTGTAACCTCTGGGTTGGACGGGGGCAAGAAACACACTTGTTAAGTTCCAGCCTTCTAACTCGCACGGTTCTCGAAATCGTTTTCTCATCAAAAAATCTTTCACGTGTTCGCAAGCAAGAACCACGTGGACGTGAGCGGTCAATACGGGAACAGAGACCCGCACACAGGTGTAGATTAAGTTGGCAAAATTCCAGTCTTGTAGTTCTTGCAGGTCTCGAGATGAAAACTTAGGTACAGACGGACACACAGACAATCCCTCGACAATATATATTTTTGCACTGCAAAGATGGAAAAAATGCATAAAAACTGTTTTTCTCTTTTTCACATAACTTCCCAATTTCACATTTTATAACAAAAGATCGGAAAAAAGAGAGGAGGGGGGAGGG